ATCCCTCCCTGCCTTTCTCTACTCACTAATCCATGGGGAAGCAGCTACGTAACACAGAGAGTTCAGACAGCAGCTCCCAGCCTGCAGAGACAGACTACAGCTCAAGGAAGTGAGGGATGAGGGGAAAGGCAGCAGAGAGACATGGGGACACAGACACTTGGGGACACTGGGAATCATGGGGACACTGATAAACTAGGGGACACTGTGAGACATGGGGACGATGAAACACATGGGGACGCTGTGAGACATAGGGACATTGAAATACACATTGGGACACGGAGACACTATGGACACAGCGTCTCCATGTCTCCCAGTGTCTCAGTGTCCCCATGGCTCCCAGTGTCCCCTAGTCTCCCAGTGTCTGTGTCCCCATGTCTTTGTGCCCTTAGTGTCTGTGTGCCCATGTCTCCAAGTAGTGTCCCCAAATGTATGTGTCCCAATGTCTCTCAGTGTCCACAAGTCTCCCAGCCAGTGTCCCTAGTGTCTCAGTGTCCCCATGTCTCCCAGTGTCCCCATGTCTGGATCCAAAAGTGCCTCCTTGTCTCTCAGTGTCCCCAAGTGTCTTAGTATCCCGGGTCTCACAGTGTCCCCTAGTGTATCAGGACACACTAATGACACAGGACACACTGAGACATGGGGACACTGAGACACTGGGAGACTAGTGGACTGGGCGACATGGGCACACTGACACTGTGATACATAGGGACACTGATGCCAGGCTGGCCTTCCAATTCTGTGGACAGACATGCCCCCTTTTTGGGCATGTGTGCCCCTTTTGGAAGTTCTGGTCACGGGATTTGCATCAGTGGCCCACCCTTTTACCCCACCTGTTGACTTCTTGCTTCACTGGACACTGCTGTTAGGGGGTATGGATTTACTTGAAAGATGAAAGCATGAATTAGAGAGAGATTAACATAGTGTGTTTTCTTATAGCTGCATCCTTTGAGTTTCCCTCAAGCACCATCTCCATCAGATACATGACGCTTGAGTGGTATGACTGTTTTAGTGTTTTTGGTAGATAAGATTATGTAATTAGGCCCAATCATAATTGTCAGCACCAGGCCCACTGGGCTCTTAATCTGGCCCTGATTCCAATGTGATATACTTCTGCTCATCTTCCTTGTGGACCACTATCAGTGGCCATATGCCTGATTTTACCTACATTTTTTCTAAGTGCATTTTTATATTAAAACTAAATTGTTTGAATAAAAAGTGCTCTTGTTGGTGTGTGTCTCTGTATTTTGAATGATGTATTGGAAAACACAGTTACGCAGATATCCCCAGATGGGGAGAAAAGCCTTGTTAATCATCCAATTTGTGAGTGCATTAAACACCTTTTATCTATCTTTATTGTTCACATGGCATTACACTATGTGGAGTTTATTTTACGTTTTCAGTGATATTTTTATCCTGTGACAATATGCAGAAAGGCTCCCACCTTCAACATTTTTTGTTACACTGTTATAGAGGTTGTATATATTTATTTATCTGTTGGCGGTGGTGTTTAATACATAGTTACATAGTTACATAGCTGAAAAGATACTTGCGTCCATCAAGTTCAGCCTACCTCACATTTGTTTTTTGCTGTTGATCCAAAAGAAGGCAAAAAAACCCAGTTTGAAGCACAATTTTGCAAAAAAATTCCTTCTTGACCCCAGAATGGCAGTCAGATTTATCCTTGGATCAAGCAGTTATTACCCTACATTGAAAGATTATATCCTTGAATATTCTGTTCTTGCAAGTATGCATCTAGTAGCCGTTTGAACATCTGTATGGACTCTGATAAAAACCACTTCTTCAGGCAGAGAATTCCACATCCTGATTGTTCTTACAGTAAAAAAACCTTTCCTTTGCCTTAGACGAAATCTTCTTTCTTCCAGTCTAAACGCATGGCCTCGTGTCCTATGTAAAGTCCGGTTTGTGAATAGATTTCCACACAATGGTTTGTATTGGCCCCGAATATATTTTGTATAATGTTATCATATCCCCTCTCAGGCGACGTTTTTCTAAACTAAATAGGTTTAAATTTGTTAACCTTTCTTCATAGCCGATATGTTCCATTCCTTTTATTAATTTTGTAGCCCGCCTCTGCACTTTTTCTAGTGCCATAATATCCTTCTTTAGAACAGGTGCCCAAAATTGCACAGTATATTCAATATGGGGTCTTACCAGTGATTTATAAAGAGGCAAAATTATATTCTTGTCCGAGAATGAATGCCCTTTTTCATGCATGACAATACCTTACTGGCCTTGGCCACTGCTGATTGACATTGCACATTGTTGCATAGTTTGTTGTCTATAACAATTCCCAAGTCCTTTTCATGTGTTGTTATCCCTAATTCGCTTCCATTAAGGGTATACATTGCTTGTGTATTCTTTACGCCGAAGTGCATAACTTTGCATTTTTCAACATTAAAAAATAGAAGGGGTCCCAGAACAGACCCCTGAGGGACACCACTTGCCACCTCTGTCCAGCTTGAAAATTTACCATTAATGACAACTCTTTGTACTCTGTTTTTAAGCCAATGTTCTACCTAAGAACAAGCATTTTCATCTAGACCGATTTCCTTGAGTTTGAACACTAATCTATTGTGTGGAACTGTATCAAATGCCTTGGCAAAATCCAAATAGATCACATCTACGGCAACACCCTGATCCATACTTCTACTTACTTCTTCGTAGAACGCAATCAAGTTAGTTTGACATGACCTGTGCTTCATAAAACCATGCTGGTTTTTGCTGATAACCATGTTCTTCTCAAGGAATTCTTGAATATTATCCCTTAATAACCTTTCAAATATTTTACCAGCCACAGAAGTTAAGCTGACAGGTTTATAATTTCCAGGCAAGGATTTTGAACCCTTTTTGAATATAGGAACCACATCTGCCTTCCTCCAATCCTCCGGAACACTTCCTAAAAGAAAAGAATCTTGAAAGATTAAAAACAGAGGTTCACTTATTTCTGCACTTAGTTCCTTAAGTACATGTGGATGGATACCGTCAGGCCCTGGAGCTTTGTTTATATTAACTTTCTTTAGTTGCTGCAGCACCTTGTCTTGAGTCAACCAATTACAATTATTCTGCAAGTTTTTAGTAGCAATCATTTGCACATCTATTGCCATGGGTTCTTCCTTAATATATACGGAGGAGAAATAGTTATTTAAAATTCCTGCCTTTTCCTGGTCTTCATTAATTATGAAGCATGTAAGCTCATCGAGCAGGGCCCTCAACCCCCTCTGTTCCTGTACGTCAGTGGTCTGATCTCAATTATGTGTCTGTTAGTCCACCCATTGTACAGCGCTACGGAATTTGTTGGCGCTATATAAATAATAAAATAATAATAATAATTAACACCCCCGTTTCAGTTTTTAGTGTACCTACACTTTCATTTTGTTTTGTTTTTTAGAATTTATGTACTTAAAAAATGCTTTGGGGTTGGTTTTGCTCTCTTCAGCTATCATTATTTCATTTTGAAGTTTAGCAAGTATAATTGCCTTTTTGCACGCATTATTTGCATCCTTATATCTTTTATAAGATGCATCTGATTTGTCCGATTTAAATGCTTTAAATGCCCTTCTCTTAGTTGTAATCTCTTGTTTTACTTCTCTACTAAGCCACATTGGTTTTAATTTGTTTTTTATATTTATTTCCCAACGGTACATACTGAGAAATGTACCTTTGTAATATTTGTTGGAAGATGATCCATTTATCCTCAGTGTTCTTTTCACTAAAGAGTTTATGCCAGTCAATATATTGTAAAGCTTCCCTTAACTTATTGAAATTGGCCTTTTAAAAATTATATGTTTTAGTATTCCCCATGTGCTTTTGTTTTTTTGAGTTTATTTCAAAGGACACTATATTGTGATCACTATTTCCCAAGTGCTCACCTACTTGAATGTTGGTCAAAAGATCAACGTTGTTTGTTAAAACCAGGTCCAGACAAGCATCCATTCTAGTTGGTCCTTGCACAAGTTGTGACATGAAGGTGTCATTTAACAAGTTTAAAAACCTAATTCCCTTTGCTGAGGCACTAGTCCCTCTGTCCCAATTTATGTCCGGGTAATTAAAATCTCCAATAATTAAAGTGTTACCAGATTTGCAGCTTTCTCAATTTGCTCAAACAGCTGTTGTTCCTCGTCAATATTAACATTAGGTGGTTTATAACATATCCCAACCAATAGTTGGTTTCGCTTCTTTTCCCCCAAGCAGATATTTACCCATAAAGCTTCCACATTATCCTCCTCGCATTCTATTTGCTTAACATTTGGCTTTAAATCATGTTTGACATACAAACATACCCCACCACCCTTCTTGTTTTTCCTATCCTTCCTAAATAACATGTACCCATTTAAGTTAGCTGCCCAGTCATGTGTCTCATCCCACCATGTTTCAGTTATGCCTATTATATCATAATGTTTAGTGTATGCTAATGCCTCTAGTTCCCCCATTTTGTTATTTAGGCTCCTTGCATTAGTAAGCATACATTTAATATTATGCGCCACTTGTATATTTTGTGAATTTTCACCATTACACAGCTTCTCTGTTCTGAGCTTGCCGCTCCCCCCGTTTCCACCCCCCTTATACTGTGCTAAAGCCCATCTCCTTTCTGTCCTATCTCCATTTTGTAGATTGCTATGACCCTCCCCCCCTACTACTAGTTTAAAATCTCCTCCAACCTTCTAGCCATCCTATCCCCAGCACTGCAGACCCTCTCCCGTTTAGGTGCAATCCATCACCACTATAAAGGTTGTACCCAATCGCAAAGTCGGCCCAGTGCTCTAAAAACCCAAAACCCTCCTTCCTGCACCAAGACTTAAGCCACGCATTGACCTCTCTAATCTCCCGCTGTCTTTCCACTGTAGCGCATGGCACAGGTAATATCTCAGAGAATACCACCTTGGAGGTCCTTTTCTTAAGTTTGCTACCTAATTCCCTGAAATCATTCTTTAGGACCTTCCATCTTCCTCTTACTTTGTCATTGGTACCAACATAGACCATGACCATCCCCAGCCCCTCCCAATAATCCATCCACTCTGTCAGCAACATGCCGGACCCGAGCACCCGGGAGACAGCAAACTGTCCGGTTGAGCCGATCAGAGCGGCAGATTGCCCTATCTGCTCTCCTAATGATAGAGTCCCCTACCACCACAACCTGTCTTGTCTTCCTTACATTTTGATCCCCACCCGTACTAGGGGGGCTGTTAGAAGTAACAGCTTCCTCTAATACAGCTACTCCTGAGCTGATGCTCCCAACATCTTCCCTCAAACGGCAAATCTGCTAGGTTGCACCAAATCAGGACTAGCTAGCCCTTTCCTCTTCCCTCCCCCCTGCTTCCTCGCCCCACTGTCACCCAGCTACATGCCTGTTCCCCATCTGTCTTATCTCCTCCCTCTCCACTACCTGTCCCCACTAAACTCTGCTCAGTGAGCAGTAGACTCCTCTCAAGATTGTCAATCTCCCTCAATGTTGCGATTTGCTTCTCGAGATCTCCAATCTGAGCTTCCAGAGAAGCCACTGGCACACAACCATCACAGAGGTATGGACCCTGGATGGGTACATCCAGGCATCCATACATGCAACAAGATGTGCATTGAGTTAAACCAGCAATCTTGCTAACACTCATATCCCCTTTAAACAGAAAAAAAAAAACAATTACCTTGATAGATTAAACCCCTTGCTTGTTTCAACGCCTGGTTTTTTAACTCCTACTTGAAAGAGTCTACTTAATAGAGGCTGCTTTCAAATAATGTGAGCATGCTCAGTGAGTTAGGGGTGTGCCTTTATGGGGATACAAATCCCACACAGGTGCAAACAATGAACACTCCCCCAATCAATCAAGCAGCAGCACACAAAAAAGGGGGGGAAACCAGAACACAGAAAAAAAAAAGTAAATTTAAAAAACAATTTTATTTTTTTAGTTTTTTTTAAACCTTACCAACTTTAAAGATTATACAAAAATAAAATACAAACCACTCCAAGTAACTCCTGGTTTTCTAACTCCTACTTGAAAGAGTACTTAATAGAGGCTGCTTTCAAATAATGTGAGCAAGCTCAGTGAGTTAGGGGTGTGCCTTTATGGGGATACAAATCCCACACAGGTGCAAACAATGAACACTCCCCCAATCAATCAAGCAGCAGCACACAAAAAAGGGGGGGAAACCAGAACACAGAAAAAAAAAAGTAAATTTAAAAAACAATTTTATTTTTTTAGTTTTTTTTAAACCTTACCAACTTTAAAGATTATACAAAAATAAAATACAAACCACTCTCCACAGTATACAAACCACTCCAAGTAACTCCTGGTTTTCTAACTCCTACTTGAAAGAGTCTACTTAATAGAGGCTGCTTTCAAATAATGTGAGCATTAGATCTCTCTTTATTTTGAATTTCTGTTTCACTTATTGGTTTTGGGTGTTATTTGTGAGGTAACACAAAAGCGGTTACCTTTTTGGATTTATTATCTTATACTTATCTTATATATAGTATTTGTCTGTTTTTACATGTTTTCCAGTATTAATTCATTTTGTAGTAATTCAATTTTGATACAAAAAAAAACTGTTTGCTATTATACAAAGATATATAAATTTGTATTGCTGATATGTGTTTAATGATAGTGATATTAAGAGCTGGCCTTGTATAATACATCTATATAACTGCGTATGGAAGGAGGACAAATAATGTGCTCAGTTTGCCTCCAGTATTTGCTTAGTGGGTTTAACTGATAGGTAAATGTATGTACAATAAGAAACAGAAAGTGAGCCGACATAATACTATGTTGCCAAAGCAATTGAATGGAGACAAAACTGCATAGATAGTATTTAACTATCAGGTATAAGAAAGTTCACATACATTCAATAAAGGTAAAAATAGTGTACTTCAATGTGTCAAGATGCACATATTGTTATGTACAGGTTAGATATACATCATTTTAGCTTGGGCCCTAATTTATTAATCTTATTGGGAAAAAAAACATATGCACCATTTATGATAGTAGGGCTGGCTTTTCATTACTCAATGAAATTTGCAAAGTAGATAATGTTATCTTCCTGATTACTAAGAGAAGAAACTTACTTTTATTGGGTTCTATTACTAGATATGAGATATGAGTTGTATTGTTTATTTTTAACTTTATGGTAGACACAGGCACCACATTTATCTCTACCTGTCTGACTAGTGCATCATTAACAAGTACCGCATACTAAACAAAAAGAAAGTATGTTATAACCTACTCTGCATGGGAAACTGATTACACAGTAGGCATCACTCAACTAACTATCACTTAACTATGAAATAATGAATATGAAGAGCTCCACCAAGATTGTGTCTTTCCAATAAATACCCAGCGATCTGTTAGAACCCAGACAGAATAATAATCCTTCTGCCATTTTACCTGGAGGTACCTGTTCACCAAGAGAAAGACTCTTTAGGTCAGAACTGCAATTACACTTTAAAGTACAATTCAAATTACTACTCTAAAGCTAAAGTTTACTGAATCAGCTGTTATAGTTCAAATGTGCTCTAGTTTTAGCTATATTTTTGGTAAGCTTGTATTTATGGTTTCATAGTGGTCCTTATCTATTTGGGTCTATTGATATCTGCAATGTGAAAGCTGCACATCAGGAGAATATTTTTTAATATTGCTGTATAAATTATCTAATGCTTGATTTAGGTTTGTATCTGTTATTGCAATTGAAGAATCTAAAGCACTTGGATCTAGAGTTTGATGCATGGAGGGGAGATAAGCCCTGCATATGTGTCTGTGATTTACAAGAATAGATCAAATTATATACAAAGGTACTCTTTCCTTATGTTTCCAACTTTTTTTGGCATTTTTTTTTATATATAGCATTAAAGATTGGCATTTGGCATAATCTTACTTTATCTTAGGAGCCAGCGTTTACATTACCCTCTGTAACGAAGGAACTTGAAATGTGTCCTTGGAGTATGATTGGAGTATAGTTTATTTTTTTTTTTTTTTACATCAGCTTAATGTACTTGACCCAGGACATACTTAAAAACAAGAGAAATCTCAATGTATCTTTCCTGGTAAAAGATTTTATAAATAAATAAATAAATAGTGAGCCCAGACGTCCAGGCATTCCACGTGTGTCTTAGCAGTTAATATAAACAGCGTGGCCTTGGCTTGCCACAGTGCTTGCCGTGGTTAGAATTAGTGAGGGCAATTGAAGAAATGATCTGTTTAGAGTCAGCGCGTGCCGACCTCTCAGACCTCTCAGACCTCCCAGAGTAAGCCTCTGTAGTCCGCACAGTTTTGATAAAGCCAGCCTGCAGCAGGGGATTCTGCTCCCGTCATTTCTTCCTCACCAACTCACGCCCTGCCCACACGTCCGCATACTCTACGTCATCATGCAAGCACAATGTTTTTTGATCAGGTGAATATTTTTTTTTGGTTTGTGTTAAATTAACTTTGTATAATTGGACATAAAAAGATCATAACAATACATTTTTGATGTGTCTGTTTTTCCTTGTCATGAGTACCCAAAGAAACTATCTCACATCTCAATGTACATGTGTCAGGTTGGGTCTACCCCTAACATGCAGAATTAGTCACTCAGAACAAGGAAAAAAACGAAATAGATAGTTATATATTACTGGACCTTAGGGTATACAATAGAGAAAAAAGGCAACATACGAGCCAAATATTAAGATTAGAGAGGTACACAGAATCAATAAGCAAGTCAAGCTCAGGTATACAGATATCAGAGTGGTTGAGACAAGCATGGATCAATAAAATAAGAATCAAATATGAATAGAATGGTTTTCACTACTCAAGATACTGTATGGTGGGGATGGCCGGGATGGCCACCATACATTACACTTGTTATAGGTTGATGGCTTGTTTTGGATCAACCAGTCTTTTTTTTGTGTAAGTACTAATTAAGGAGGGTTTTTTGTTTCTTATCTATATATGGTAATACTTGGAGAGAGAGAGTCCCACAAATCAAAAAGAACTCATAAATTAAGTTGATCTCTATAAATGCCCGGGGGATTAACACACCATGTAAAAGGTCCATAATTGTAGATTTTTTGGTTAAAAATCACGTACAAATTTGTGCCCTGCAAGAAACCCATTCGACACAAGCCAAAGAAAAGACAATAATCTCATCAAGATACCCCACTATCACAAGTGCAACCTTAGAAAAAAAAGGGGGGGGTGTTGCATTTATTTTTGCAAGAAATGTTTTCTTAATTATTAAATATCAAGAACTAGATCTAGAGGTCATTTGATAAAAATGGCAGCTTTTGAAAATAAAAAAGGACTACTGTCTCTATCGAAATTATGCATAACACTAAGTGAATACAAAAGGCAAAATAAACACCTTCCATACAAATAGCAAATAAGATTGCAGAAACAGAAAACAGATTAATAATCAATTAATGAACAAAGCGTCCAAACAACTAGAAGCATTACAATCAAAATGGTATTTAAAAGGCAACAAACCAGAAACAATTATGTCCAACAAATTGAAAAAAGATAAATATAAAAGAGTAATTCATAAAATAAAAGATAAAAATACCTATCTAATGGTTCTATAAAAAATAGGAGGAGCGTTTGAAAGATTTTACCAGAACCTATATAGTTTACCAGAAGAAACATTCGGTAACGCAAAAGAGATTGAGACATTTTTTGAAAATTTGTCCATGCCAAAAATCCTGCCCAACCAATTAAGGCTGATGAATCAACCTACAACAGAAGTAGAGGTTAGTAAATCTATAGACAAACTTAAAACAAAGACCACTCCAGGCCCAGATGGTTTTACAAATACATTTTACAAACTAATGAAAGACCAACTAAAAGTGTAACTCACTAATATTTTCAACTATATAATGGAAACAGGAAATTGTCCTAACTATAGACCTATATCATTAATCAATACGATATTAAAATACTATCCTCTATTCTAGCTGATAGATTACAAATAGTTATACCACAAATCATCAATAATGACCAAGCTGGATTCATACCAGGGAAGTCTGCAATCAACAACCTTAGAAAAATAATAAACATAATGGAAGAGACGGAGAACACTAGAACATCTCTAATCTTTCTGTCAATAGACACTGAGAAAGCGTTCAACAGGGTTGAATGGGGTTTTTATGTTGGCTATTTTAAACCAGTTTGGAATTACTGGACCAATTTCACAAGCCGTGCCCAATCTTTACAGCTCTCCATCAGCTAAGGTAATAAGCTCAGGATTTACATCACAAAATTTTAATATAAAAAATGGGACCAGACAAGGGTGTCCTCTCTCCCCTCTATTTTTCATAATGGTGTTAGACCCCTTAGCGATTTTAATAAGACAAA